CATGTTCTAGTCCTCAGGTCCCATGATCTAGTCCTCAAGTCCCATGTTCTAGTCCTCAAGTATCATGTTCTAGTCCTTAGATCTCATGTTCTAGTCCTCAGGTCCCATGTTCTAGTCCTCCGGTCCCATGTTCTAGTCCTCAGGTCTCATGCTCTAGTCCTCAAGACCCATGCTCTAGTCCTCAAGACCCATGTTCTAGTCATCAAGACCCAAGTCCTATGCTCTAGTCCTCAAGACCCATGTTCTAGTCATCAAGACACATGTTCTAGTCATCAAGTCCCATGCTGTAGTCCTCAAGACCCATGTTCTAGTCATCAAGACCCATGCTCTAGTCTTCAAAACCCATGCTCTAGTCCTCAAGACCCATGTTCTAGTCATCAAGACCCATGCTCTAGTCCTGAAGACCTATGCTCTAGTCCTCAAGACCCATTCTCTAGTCCTCAAGACCCATGTTCTAGTCATCAAGTCCTATGCTCTAGTCCTCAAGACCCATGTTCTAGTCATCAAGACACATGTTCTAGTCATTAAGTCCCATGCTCTAGTCCTCAAGATCCATGTTCTAGTCATCAAGACACATGTTCTAGTCATCAAGTCCCATGCTCTAGTCCTCAAGACCCATGCTCTAGTCCTCAAGACCCATGTTCTAGTCCTCAAGACCCATGCTCTAGTCCTCAAGACCCATGCTCTTGTCCTCAAGACCCATGTTCTAGTCATCAAGACCCATGCTCTAGTCCTCAAGACCCATGTTCTAGTCCTCAAGACCCATGCTCTAGTCCTCAAGACCGATGTTCTAGTCATCAAGACCCATGTTCTAGTCCTCAAGACCCATGCTCTAGTCCTCAAGACCCATGCTCTATTCCTCAAGACCCATGCTCTAGTCCTCAAGACCCATTCTCTATTTCTCAAGACCCATGTTCTAGTCATCAAGACCCATTCTCGTCCTCAAGACCCATGTTCTAGTCATCAAGTCCCATGTTCTATTGAGCTCCCACCCCGCAGACAACTGCAGGCACTTTCTGGAATTATCTAAGACTAATCCTACCTCAGATGTTCTGGCTAGAACCAGTTCTACCATGTCTGGAGGTTGAACGTGGACTAATGTCTCGACAAGGAAGTGGACTTACCACTCGACCATTTGCCGTACCAGATATTTCTAGACCAATCCACACGTGATGGCTGGTTTCTTTGAATATCACAGAAGGTGCTTTTTTTCCCTGCAACATTTCTTACAACTCATTGTAGAGAACACGCCCCCTCTCCACCCCCCCCCCTCCCCCAATCCTTAACACCCCCTTTTTTCAAACGCACCCACTGGATACCTCAGATTAACAAAAACATAATTGTTGTGCCAACGATATATGAACGGAACAATTTAAGTAATTTCCAACCTCACAATATATATATATATATATATATATAATCAAACTGCACCACCGTAACCACCTAAGCGCTTCGCCTGCTGCTGAAGGTGAGGACGGAGCATGTATGGGAACCAAAGTATTTTCATCTTTCATTTACAAAAACCACATCTCCGCTGCCTAATCTAGCAATGCACAAGCTTAACTTCTGGAATTATGTACAATGCAAATATTATACAAGTTTTACGTACCGTGAATACTTACCGACAACTACAGATCTCTGGACTGAATTAATCCAAACTTATTCTCTCTATGCAGATGGAATGAAATGCTCCTATAAACAGGAAATATTTCCAGAAATCGCTGGTTATTACAGCCAACAAAAACAATCTTTCATTACGGTGTGATATTTGCAGCCATGGCGCATTGGTTTGGTTGGTTGACCTTCATGACCCCGCCGCCAGCAGTGCCACAAGGTAGTTTTCGTCTGCTCTTGCTTCAACAAGACGTTGCCTGATTTTTACAACTATCATGGATGTGAGCGTTCTACCGCGGGGTGACGCCCCTCCACAGCGGGGCTGCACATTCCTTGGCATTTGGAGTGAGCAGTTCAAGTGCTGAAATAGAGGCCAGGTGAACTGTAAGTTGTTAGAGTAAATTAGGGTTGGCAAAACGTCAACACAGCTGTATCAATACAATATTTCAGCGTTGAAAATGTAAACTCCAAGAACAAACAGCAGATGCAGCTCGTGCCGTTATGCAACCTGCACGGGACGAGATACACCGACACAATTAGGTGGGCTGTAGGGTGTGTGCGCGCGCGTACGTGTGTGCGTGTGTGCGCGCGCATGTGTTCAACATAGCCTAAACTTGTGTTCAGACTACACTTGGCATCTTTCAGAAATCTGTAAAAAGAAATATTTTCACGCCGATATTAGTGGAAACACGTGGAACAGAAGAAAGTTGGGGTAATTAAATTTAGACATATAGTAAGACAGATAAAAAGCGTCAAAAACAACGGATATATAAGTATTACAAGTGATAAATGGACAGGACAGAAACGTATAAATAAAAACTGACTCAGAATGATACAATATTAGACTCAGAGACAGTTAGGAAACACAGACAATCAGACAGTTAAGTAATATATGCTGCTTACTATAAAAGAAACTTGACAAAAACAGGCACTGAAACAGAATTTCATAAATCAGCGTTAGCTGTGCGTGCAATACAGGTAGACACTTACAAATGCAGACGAATCCCCCCCCCCCTCCTTTTTTTTTTTCCTCTTGTTTAATACTATAGTAAAAGAACTAATATATATAACCAAATATTCCCCGTCATTCTGGAGGTGTGTCATGTTGACCGCCTCGAAGAACGCGGGACTTGATGTTCTTTCTCATTAATTAAGCGCTTGTGTTAGACTGGTGACTTCCTGTGGCAGATTTCCCTGCCATTACTGCCAAAGACGTTTTCAGAGTCGTAATTCCTATACAAACTGGCCAGTTCGCTGAAATACTTGTTTCTGTTATTATGTCTGGTTATCTGACCAGAGCCGGATCTGGACTAGAATTCTGCGGACACTGATCGTCTGCTCCACACACAGTTCACGGTTGTGGTCAGTGATACCGGACGATGGCTTCACTGGGTCAGTTGTCCTCCAACAGTTGATCTAATCCCCAGACTTCTCACCCAGCAGCATTTACTTTTGTTGTTTGTGATGTTTTGTTTCGTGAGTATTATTGTTGAAATATGCTTGTAACAGTAGATAACAGTGGACACTGCTCGCCTTTACTTCCGCGCCTGCTTCGTCTGATGGTGACATCTCTATTGTTACAACAAAGTGATCCTATAAAATTTCTTAGCCAATATAATTGGCACAAGAAACCAAACCACAAATATAACCGATACTGTTCGCAGTAGGTTGAACGTAGTCGATTTTTTGTTTTGTTTTTCATAAATCGGCGCATGGCCAGAATAATGCACAAGTTAGAAAACTGTCGGAATGACCAAGTCAGATCCATCTGTCAGTTAGAAAACGTCGGGATGACCAAGTCAGATCCATCTGTCAGTTAGAAAACGTCAGGATGACCAAGTCAGATCCATTTGTAAGCTAGGAAACTGTCGGGATGACCAAGTCAGATCCATCTGTCAGTAAGAAAACGTCGGGATGACCAAGTCAGATCCATCTGTCAGGAAACTGTCGGAATGACCAAGTCAGATCCATCTGTCAGTTAGAAAACGTCAGGATGACCAAGTAAGATCCATCTGTCAGTTAGAAAACGCCGGGATGACCAAGTCAGATCCATCTGTCAGTTAGAAAACGTCGGGATGACCAAGTCAGATCCATTTGTAAGCTAGGAAACTGTCGGGATGACCAAGTCAGATCCATCTGTCAGTTAGAAAACGTCGGGATGACCAAGTCAGATCTATTTATAAGTTACGAAACTGCCGGGATGACCAAGTCAGATCCATTTGTAAGTAAGGAACTTTCGGGATGACCAAGTCCGATCCATCTGTAAGTAATGAAAAGTCAGGATGACCAAGTCAGATCCATCTGTCAGTTAGGAAACTGTCGAGAAGACCAAGTCAGATCCATTTTTAAGTTAGGAAACTGTCGGGATGACTAAGTCAGATCCATCTGTTAGTTAAGAAACCGTCGAATGACAAGTCAGTTTCGGAGCTGATACCCGACCAAAGTCACATTACCCGATAGATTGTGTGAGGTGAGAGGAAACATGGCTGACTACACCACCAGCAAGGCACTTACAGGTCATGAATCTTGCTGAGAGGAAACAGATTGGCACTGTTGTCACGTGAAGCAAAATAAATACAGGTAATGGACTCTTGTTATGGATACAGACAGATAAATAGGCGGTAATTTGCAGCAATCTGTCGGACACCGCTGTCACACAAGCACTATGACGCTGCAATATGGACCACAGTTTTAACACCGGCACTATCAGCATTGATAACATCAATTACACGTGGATATAAATATATTTTTTTATGCAGTCAGTTAAATTAAATGACTGCACGAGCGCTTGTACTGTGTAGACTTCTGCTGCGCGCGTTTCACTTGTGTCAAAATTAGTTTGTTTCACCAATGCTCTAATACCGTTCTTTTGTCGTTTAATAGTGAGAGATAAGGATATAAATAATATTAACATGAGATCTTCGATCGGCACATTGTAAAATACAGCACTGTCATGTTTTGTCGTGTCAGTCCCGGGTTTTGTTGCGTCAGTCCCGGAGTAGTTTGTCGGTGACTGATGAGACCTGTGTCAACCGCTGGCAAAGAACTCTTTATGTGTGTACCAGGGCATGCGGGTTTCAAAGCGAACGAACACATTAACAGGCTCGTTGGAGGTGCTGCTGAGGACAAATTTAGGACTGGCTGGTATACCGAATCTCAAAGAGAAATATGAGATTACCCGATCCGGCGATGACTGCGCATTGTAACCTCGACCAGATGGTAAAAAGAGACACAGACAAACAATGTAATGCAGGTGGCCAGCACAGAACAGGTGTCTTTGGTCGCTGAGGAATATGCTGAGTAAGAGATCCGATTGCGAATGTACTGACGGACTCTATGTGCAGTGAAGAGGAACAATGAGTAGCCGCGAGATAGTGGAGCAAACCATGAACAGAAGCACAGCTGGCACTTTCTGCTCAGCATCGCCATGGTTAAATGTTATCTACTGTACTGCTGGATCTCTAATCGTTTTCGAGAACGTTCTGATGATAGTGGTGATCATCAGAACTCCAGGACTGCACAACATCGCCAACATTTTGGTGACCTCTCTTTCGGTGACGGACGCCATTGTTGGGTTTATAGCCGCTATGGCAGGAATTCTGTTCGCCGTCTTGAAACCGTCAGACTGGATATTTCGATATATCTACATATCAGTAGCTGCAACTATATTGGGAACAACGTTGTGTTCTCATCTACACATCGCTGCCATCGCAATAGATCGCTATATCTACATTGCACATCCCTTCTTCTACTTTAGACACGTCAACGAAAAGGTGGTTTTTAGATGTCTGCTTGGCGTGTGGTTTCTGGTTTCGTTGTATACGCTGGCATCAGCTCTGTCTATTAAAACGCGAATGTTTTGTTTAATGAGAGAGGTCATGGATCTGTATATTAGCTACGTTGGCAGCTGGATTACATTGTTCCTTCTGTGTTTAACATCAGCTGCGTATTTCCGTATAGCAGCCATTTCCCTGAGACACCGCCGATCTATAGCGTCAGTAAACATTGCCGCTCTTCCATCTACCAACCCCAGCCAGCCAGGTAATGACAGAGTAAGCATCAGTGAGGAAACCTGGACACACATGCTGAAGACTGTTCGATTCTTTGTTGTCATGACCGGCTCCTTTGCTGCAATGATGGTCCCCGTGACAATTTGCAACTTCCTGTTCGGCCACGTTCAACTTAGCAAAACCTTGTTGAACACTGTAACTATGTTGCCGATTCTCCAGTCCGGATTTAACTTCTTCATCAATATTTTCATGAATTCTGATTTCAGACAGGCTGTTGTCCAAGTGTTTTTGTGTCGAAGTGTCATCTAAGAATTCTCAGATTCAAACTAAATATGTATCAAAGGGTAGTGCCATAGAGGATACGTCCACGACTGTCATCTCTGCCTTTTCATCAACGTTCGTTGCCGGGTTTCGCTTGGAATTCCTCGTTGCCTCAGTACATTTCTTTCCAATTTCAGTAACTGATTTATAACTATTTGTTAACTTCAAAGGATTTAGCTTATGAATAGCCATCGACTTCTTCTTTTAACAGTGGCAACAGTGGTTTCTTTTTTTTTCTTTCTGATTATGCTTCTGGTATCATTGTGCAGTGTGTGGATGTGTGTGTGTGTTTATATTTTTAATGTTTTTTTTTTTTTAATGTTTTAGTATTTGTTTAGGGAGCATGTTTAAGGTTGATACCTGCAACTAACTCCGACAGCCTTGTTAGGGAGCATGTTTAAGGTTGATACCTGCAACTAACTCCGACAGCCTTGTTTAGGGAGCATGTTTAAGGTTGATACCTGCAACTAACTCCGACAGCCTTGCTTGGGAGCATGTTTAAGGTTGATACTTGCAACTAACTCCGACAGCCTTGTTAGGGAGCATGTTTAAGGTTGATACCTGCAACTAACTCCGACAGCCTTGTTTAGGGAGCATGTTTAAGGTTGATACCTGCAACTAACTCCGACAGCCTTGCTTGGGAGCATGTTTAAGGTTGATACCTGCAACTGACTCCGACAGCCTTGCTTGGGAGCATGTTTAAGGTTGATACCTGCAACTAACTCCGACAGCCTTGTTTGAGAGCATGCTCAGACTGATAATTGAATTATAGCTCCCAGGATAACCCAGCCTAACATGGATACCAGCAACTATTCTGGGGAGTCATGTCAACTGGTCTGATGTTGACATCATCACCACTGTACTGTCGATGGTCTTTGCTGACACATATAATGTTGATTGTCTATGTTAACCCATATACTGTCGGTGGTCTATGTTGACCCATATAATGTTGATGGTCTATGTTAACCCATATACTGTCGATGGTCTTTGCTGGCACACATAATGTTGATGGTGTATGTTAACCCATATACTGTCGATGGTCTTTGCTGACACATATGATGTTGATGGTCTATGTTAACCCATATACTGTCGATGGTCTTTGATGGCACATATAATGTTGCCGGTCTATGTTGACCCATATACTGCCAGTGGTCTTTGCTGGCACATATAATGTTGCTGGTCTATGTTAACCCATATACTGCCGGTGGTCTTTGCTGGCACATATAATGTTGCTGGTCTATGTTAACCCATATATTGCCAGTGGTCTTTACTGACACGTATAATGTTGCTGGTCTATGTTGACCCATATACTGTCAGTGGTCTTTACTGACACATATAATGTTGCTGGTTGTGACAAAACGGGAGAAATATTTCAGTCCGGCAAGAGTTAATTGCAAGTTTTAGTTAAAAGAATTGCGCACGTAAAATAAATATATTTAAACATAGACGCTAAAAGAATAAAAAGGTACGAAGGCGCACATAATTTATGACGTTTTGTGGTGTTACTAGGAGATCTAATTTCGTCACAACACAGAACGATTGCCAGCCATACCATCGGCCTAAAACCCACAATAATAATATTTTATACGAGTTCAGGTTCCCGTGTTACCGTAGTCCTGCCTGCCTGTTTACCAGAGGACCAAAATCCCGTGCTCCCGTATTCAAGTCTGCCTGTTTACCAGAGGACCATAATCCCGTATTCCCGTTTTACGCTATGCCTGTTACCTGTGGATTGTGAACCACCATCCCTGTTACCTGTGGATCGTGAGCTGCCATTCCTGTTACCTTGTGAATTGGGAACCAGACGGTATAGAATGAACAACCGAGATTTCACAGATGAATGTCGCAGTTAGGCGAGGACTATAACAGTCGCAGCCAGAATCTTGTACATTCCTCCCAGAGAAGCTGCAGTTGGACACATCCCGTATATCGTAAAGCTGAGTGTTACTGAATATTTGTATAAATTAATGTGGTGTCATGATGATACATTTATTTATTTTCTCTGTGTTAATTTGAAAATTGTTGAATTCAATATCAGTATTTTATCAATACAGTTGTGGTTTAGAAATTCCATTTATCGATTTCATCGTATCAAATTTACTTCTTCGGTAGACTAAAGATTGTTCATTGCAATTTATTTGAGTTAAATTTACAAAGTTTTGACTTTGGTGGTTTTCTGAATTTCTTTAGGACATTTTCGGGGATTCACCCTATTCTTTAACTTTCTGTATTCTCCTTCCTCTATTTTCCAGAACTCAGGGACCGTTATAATTCCCCTAGACTTATTTAATTCGAGCCCTGTAAGTTATTTGGAAGGATATAGGGGATCTCCAGGCGACGATAGATTCCGCCAACAATAGTTGATTACACTGGTCTATGTTAACCCATATACTGTCAGTGGTCTTTAGTGACACACATAATGTTGCTGGTCTATGTTGACCCATATACTGCCAGTGGTCTTTGCTGACACACATAATGTTGATAATTTATATTGACCCATATACTGTCGGTGGTCTATGAAAATATGGACCAAGCATCATATACCAGAAGCGCCAACGGGTTGAACAGGCTCTTGTCTTTTCTGACCGGACATGCTTGCGCAATGACGACTTAATTTTGTCGTGAAAGTTGATCATAAACTTAGTTGTTTAAAGCAAAGCTTGAACTCAAAGCAACTAATAATAAGCATTCCAGCGAGAATTACATCTTGCCTTTCATCAGTTAATGATAGTCTTAACTTATGATATGTTATTTTCTTAAATATAAACAAGGGCTGCTAACGGCCCAGAATAAGCCTCGTTGTCCACTTATCATGAGCCCTAAATCGTTAATTTATTAAGTTGCCAGGCTAACATTGCCTTGTCCATTAGGCTCTGAAAGAAGGAAAAGCTTCCAATAAAAGTGACTGCAATGTGGAGAGCTGGTCTTGCTTTCTTTTGTTCTTTCTTTCTTTCTTTATTTCTTTTTTCTGTCTTTCTTTCTTTCTTTCTTTCTTTCTTTCTTTCTTTCTTTCTTTCTTTCTTTCTTTCTTTCTTTCTTTCTTTCTTTCTTTCTTTCTTTCTTTCTTTCTTTCTTTCTTTCTTTCTTTTCTTTCTTTCTTTCTTTTCTTTCTTTCTTTCTTTCTTTCTTTCTTTCTTTCTTTCTTTCTTTCTTTCTTTCTTTCTTTCTTTCTTTCTTTCTTTCTTTCTTTCTTTCTTTCTTTCTTTCTTGTGTATGTGTGTGTGTGTGCACAGCACGTTAAAAGCTCAACGGAATGCGGACAAGGCGTGGTCTGTTTCATGTCTCGGTGCATTCTGGTGCCCTAGATATCCTTCGTGTCCTCCTCTCATTTTGGTGTTGGTCGACGTTGTTCTAGGAACAGCTTCCATTCCCTCGCCCCCCCCCCCCACTTGGCCCCAACTAATGTTATATTTAGTATATTTTGATCTCCTACCATACCCCTTTCCTCCTTTATATATATATATATATATATATATATATATATATATATATATATATATATATATATATCTGTGTGTGTGTGCGTGTGTGTGCGTGTGTGTGTGTGTGTGTGTGTGTGTGTGTGTGTGTGTGTGTGAGAGAGAGAGAGAGAAAGCTGGCTCACTTTCAATATGCTCGTTTACTCTGGAACAAATACAGCTTTCTACAACTGACAACACTGAAACGCCGCTCTGATTCCAGTATACGTTCTGCCATTTTATTCTTTTCTGTTCCATCAGATTTACTGGATCACAATCATCGCTGGTCACTTCCACAAATATGCCACAATAATCATTTACTCAAAGTTGACTACACTTCATTCTAACTTTATTGTCAACATCACGAGTGTCCTCTTCCAACTCTGGTACACAACTGACCATAAGTCCACCTCGGACTTTCCCTCGTTTACCTTTCCAGCCCCACGTATCTCGTGCGATCGTTTGTCGCAGGGATTTTCTGCTGGACTTGCTGTGAGCGTGGAGAATATATATATAATTTGATGATTTTCCTGGGACACTACAACTCAAAGCTCTGATTTTCTACTTTGATGATAGTGAAGTAGTCAACAACTGCCATCCGTTTCTTGCTACAGCAAACATGAGTAAATCACGTCATGGAAAAGAGAGGCAGAGAGAGGGAGGAGAAAGAGAGAGAGAGAGAGAGAGAGAGAGAGAGAGAGAGAGAGGGGGGGGGGGAGAGAGAGAGAGAGAGAGAGGGAGAGAGAGAGAGAGAAAGATGAACAGAAAGAGACTAATGCAGTGGTAGTGTCAGTCTCTGTACACGCAATTCTGTCATCACCAGTGATTTTTTATTTGTATAAATTAAACAATTGTCACAATAATCAAGATTTGCCAAGGCGCATGAAAAATGTCTTGACAGCCTGTCTGAAATCAAAATTCATGAAAATATTGATGAAGAAATTGAATCCTGACTGGACAGTCGGCAACAGCATAAACACATTCAGCAAGTTGTCGTTAAGGCTGATGCCAAATCGATACAGGAAAGTACAGATGATCGCTGGAAGCATCATGGCCACAAACGAACTGGTCATCACCAGAAAGAACCGGACAGTTTTCAGCATGTCCGTCCAGCTGTCGTCACTGACACTAATTCTGGTGCTGTCCTGACAGTTTGCCCTGGCAGATGACAGTACCGCGACATTCAATGACGCGACGCATCGACGGTGTCTCAAGGACACAGCCGCTATACGGAAATAGGCCAGCCATGTTACAAGCAGCATCAGCAATGTCATGTACCCGGTAACATACACAATGTCTAGAGTGATTACATCACTAATTAAACAAAACACACTTCTTTGAATGGCCAGACCTGTTGCTAGCATATACACCAACATTAAGCACCATAATCCCAGTATAATTTTTAGAATCATCTCTTCTCTGACATGAGTGCAGTAGAAATATGGATGGGCTATATAAAGGTATCGATCTATGGCCAGGGCAGTAATGTGCATGTAAGCACACATGGTTGCTCCCAGGAAGAGTGTGACTATTGCCAGGAAAACTTGCTGGAATGCGGGGTTCGAGGGGTTCAAGATGGCGAACACAACCCCGGCCAGGATGTCGATAAGTCCGACGAGGGTGTCAGTAACCGCTAGTGACATAACGAAGAGGTTGGTGATGTTTTTTAGGGACCGCGTTCGTTTGATCACTGCGACCGTTAGAAGGCTCTCTAGTGTGATAACCAAGCCGATGCTACAGTAAACAATATTTAACCAAACGTTGCTCGAGCAGGTATCGCTGACAGCAGTGCTTTCGTTCATAGCGTCCGTTGCTTTGAACTTTGACCTTACAAATGTCTCCATCAGTCTTATTTTAACCACGCGTTGTGGAGTCTTGTGAGCAATAGAATCCACCACAATATGGCTTTCTTGTCAGAGGGCTATTTTCTCAATGATGCAGTCTCCTTTAACTCGACTTTCACTCGGTGGAGTCTTCTGGCCAGGCGGTCAATTCGTCTCGTCACCGAATTCATGGGATTTTGCGTCGTGAAGGGGTTAATCCGTTTGCCTAGCACTCTGAGGTTTGTGTATTCAACTTACGACTGTGTCACTTGGGTTACTAGCGTAGACATTTCTGAGGTTTGTTGCCTGAGCTACGGTGTGTTGTCCTTTGTGGATAGTTTCGACAGGAAACAGTGGTTCTTTGAAGAAAATACTGAGCCATATGAGACCAAATCCGGCGCAGTGAAATTTATCCTCTCTTCTCTGAAATGTTTCGAACTGAGTTAATGCTTGCTTGCAACACACATCCACATGATACTAGGAAAAGTCATGTCTCCCAGCTGGTGGTATCCATCCCCCATACAGCCTAGCCCCGACTGCACTCAGGTATCTTTGAAGTGTTCCCGTGGAACTCTCATTCCGAGCGATGAAGCGCAAACAAATTTCCGCAAATATTACTGCTAAAATGTTTACATATAAATTACAGTTCAGGTGGAATACTCACTGTTTCACCATCCTCAGGGGCCAGTCAAAAAATTAGCAACCTTATCTTCATAGCATGCATGTAGTTAATGGAGAGAAAAAAAAACTGGGCCACAGGGGAACAGCTTCGGGTTACATTGTGGTCTTTGTTTATTGTGCGCCATATTCAAGGCTACAAACCGCTGACCAACAAGTCCATCATTGACGAACCAGTCAACCACCCACACGGACCTCGTAGGTGTGCGCGTATTTTCAATTACTCCTGCTTGCGCTTTAACATTAGCTACAGTTTCCACCTACCTGGAACCACCGTCAATATTCTCTTGTAATTGTCTTTTTTTTTCGTGGTGGCATTCCCGCAATGTCGGCTCTATGGCTAAGTCGATGCGAACGCTTTATAATACCGGGGTGCCGGGTTCGATGCCAGCTGCGGGCCATGCGCCTTGCCTTGGTTTCGACAGTGGTATCAAGAAAGTTGACCGTCCAGCAAGCAATGACAAACTATTGGGTGTATTTTGCCTAGAAAAACAAAACCACGCAAAAGCCAGGGGCTGTAGGGCTTGGTTCTACAACGTCCTGTAAAGGATACGCATCTAACCCAGATTCCCGCCATTCTATTGCCTGCAGCTTTAATCAGTCTTTATCCCCGTGTGGGTTCCGATGCCCTATTATAGGGAAAACAAAATAAACCCACTGCCTACCCAAAAGCATGTCGTAAGAGTCGACTAATCTGTAAACAAATGAGTCAGATATGTCAAACGGATGCACACACAACACTTAGGTTCTGGAACAGGACATTTAAGTCCAGAAGTGGCTGAACAACCAGAACTTTCCGCCAGACTTTACAGCTGGTAAATGCGAAGAAGAAGAAGAAGAATCAGACTTCATATCATTAATTGACAAAGCAACCCAAAAATAAATTATGCACAACCTGCTTGAAATCAGAACTCATAAAAATAAAAATGAAGAAATTGAAACCTGACTGCAATATCGGCAAAAACATGAACAGAGTCAAGACATTGGTGTCCATCTTAGAACTGAATCTGGCTAGTAACGCAAAAACTGTCAACGGAAATGTGAAGGCAGCCAAAGAACCAGTCATTACCAAATAGAAGCTGAGGGTTTTCCGAACATCTCTCCAGCTGTTTTCCTGGAGGTTAGTTCGGATACCTGCTCGTTGGGTCACGTTGCTGGCTGACAGTACGGCAACATTTACTGCTGTCACAGATCGGCGATGTTTCAGTGACAGAACAGCAATTCGGAAATATGCCATCAGTGTGAGGGAGAGAAGCAGCAATGAGATACAGCTGTCGACGTAGAAGATATCCAAATGTGTGAAAGCATCAAATAAACAAACAAAACTGTTCTGTAAAATTATAGAAATTATCAGCGTATAGACGGCCACAAGAATCCACGTGGATGCGAGAATGATGGTCACCAACTGTTTGTTGATCCATCTGTAGTACCAGAAAGGATGCACGATATATGCATAGCGTTCTATGGCAATGACAGCAACATGGAGAAACGACCCAAATGTTGTTCCCATGTAACAAACAGTAAATGCAGCTTGTATTTTTTCGAACATCCAGTCTGAAGGTTCCACAACAACGAAGGCGGTTCCGCCGATCAAGGTCGCCAGTCCAACAATGGCGTCTGTCAGAGCTAGGGAGGTCACGAAAACGTTGGCGAAGTTGTGGAGTCTGGGGGTGCGGACAATCACCACTATCATTACAATGTTCTCCATGGTGATGATTGCTCCTACACAGATGTATACAATGTCTAGCCATGAGACCACTGGACAAGTCTTGTACTTATCTGTGGCGCTTTCGTTCATTGCGTCCGTCTATCCATTGCATCTGACTTGATAAAAACATCCTTCGTGAAAATATGTCGAATTTATTATTTGTTGACCTCAAAAAAAAACTTTGTAGAACACCTTTAAAAAAAAACACGTAATATTGTCGAATTTATGATTTTTTTTTTTTTTTTTTACTTTACTAAGGGTTGGATATCAAGATTTTTCACAAAGATATCGTTCCGACGAATGTTTGTTTATCCGCTTTGCCAATGGTGGGATTAAAAACATTGTTCGTGTTGTTACTGTCTCCTGATTTTTTTTTTTTTTTTTACTTCTTCATTAACGGGACAAAACTATCCTTGAAAAAAATAGTAATTGTCGAATGTTTAATTTATCGACATCAGCAATGACGGCATGTTACTTGTGGATGTCCCTAATGGGCAGATGAAAGTATCTTTGACAAAAGCAGTTGCCTGGGATCATACAGGAAGTTTCTCGAGCATAGGCATCTCCATAGCAACATCCGCCATCGTTAGTGACAAAACACGCAACGTTTCCAAGGAAACATGGCTAATGTTTTCCAACAATACAAAATGTTGATTAAATATTCTCTTGATGTACCGAACACATGTTATGTAATACAGTGAGCAAGACACGAGGGTGGCAGTTGTTTTAAATTATTAAATAATAGAGACTTTGAGGCGATTATGGTTTTACGCTGCATACGTAAAGCAGCAGAAGCGAGCGACTCACATTAAATGTCATCTGGATGTTTGATCATGAGATACAACTCAAACCTTTGACAAATACAGTCGGTCACATTAATAATGGCACATGCTAATCAATCTTTGACCGCTCTCAATGGATACAGTAAACATTCCGAGAATCATTCGATATTTCAGTGTTAAAGGAAGTCGCTCTCAGATTGATCCTACTAATGTCTGGTTGGTTTGTTGACTGCTTGGTTAGTTGTCTGATTGGTTCATTTGTCGTCCAGATGGTTATTTACCTGACTGGTTGGTTAGTTGTCTGATTGGTTCATTTGTCGTCTAGATGGTTAGTTACCTGACTGGTTGGTTAGTTGTCTGATTGGTTCATTTGTCGTCTAGATGGTTAGTTACCTGACTGGTTGGTTAGTTGTCTGATTGGTTCATTTGTCGTCTAGATGGTTAGTTACCTGACTGGTTGGTTAGTTGTCTGATTGGTTCATTTGTCGTCCAGATGGTTAGTTACCTGACTGGTTGGTTAGTTGTCTGATTGGTTCATTTGTCGTCCAGATGGTTAGTTACCTGACTGCTTGGTTAGTTGTCTGATTGGTTCATTTGTCGTCCAGATGGTTAGTTACCTGACTGGTTGGTTAGTTGTCTGATTGGTTCATTTGTCGTCTAGATGGTTAGTTACCTGACTGGTTGGTTAGTTGTCTGATTGGTTCATTTGTCGTCTAGATGGTTAGTTACCTGACTGGTTGGTCAGTTGTCTGATTGGTTGATTTGTCGTCTAGATCGTTAGTTACGTGACTGGTTGGTTGGTTGTCTGATTGATTCATTTGTCGTCCAGATGGTTAGTTACATTACTGGTCAGTTAGTTGTCTGATTGGTTCATTTGTCGTCTAGATGGTTAGTTACCTGACTGGTTGGTTGGTTTTCTGATTGGTTCATTTGTCGTCCAGATGGTTAGCTACCTAACTGGTTGTTTAGTTGGCTAATTGGTTGGTTAGTTGTCTGATTGGTTCAGTTTTCGTCCAGATGGTTAGTTACTTGATTGGTTGGTTACTTGTCTGATTGGTTCATTTGTCGTCTAGATGGTTAGTTACATGACTGGTCGGTTAGTTGTCTGATTGGTTCATTTGTCGTCCAGATGGTTAGTTACCTGACTGGTTGGCTAGTTGTCTGACCGGTTGATTTGTCGTCCAGATGGTTAGTTACCTGACTGGTTGTTTAGTTGTCTGATTGGTTCATTTGTCGTCCAGATGGTTAGTTACCTGACTGGTTGGCTAGTTGTCTGATTAGTTCATTTGTCGTCCAGATGGCTAGTTACCTGACTGGTTGATTGGTTTTTGATTAGTTGATTTGTCGTCCAGATGGCTAGTTACCTGACTCGTTGGTTGGTTGTCTGATTGGTTGATTTGTCGTCCAGATGGCTAGTTACCTGACTGGTTGATTGGTTTTTGATTGGGTAATTTGTCGTCCAGATGGTTAGTAACCTGACTGGTTTGTTAGTTGTCTGATTGGTTTATTTGTCGTCCAGATAGTTAGTTACCTGACTGGGTGGTAGTTGTTTGATTAGTTGATTTGTCGTCCAGATGGCTAGTTACCTGACTGGTTGGTTGACTGGTTAGTTAGTGACTGGTTGACAGGCTGATTGGTTAGTTGATAGGTTGGTTGGTTGGTTGGCTGATTAATCTGGTTCGTTATTTTGTTGATTAGTTGGTTAGTTTGTTGACTGATTGGTTTACCAGTCTGGCTAGATTGTTGAATTACTGGTTTAGCCGGTTGCTCAGTTTATTGACTGGTTTGTTAGCTGGTTAGATAAGTGGCTGGTTTATTGGTGGTGTGGTTGATTAGTTGGCTGGTTGATTGGTTACCTCGTTGGCTTGCTAGGTTGGGTTAATGATTGTTTTTCATATTTAAGCCAGCGTATCTCCCTCACCCCTTTATATACTTGTATTTGTTTAGTTCTAAGCCGAAGTCTAAATTAGAAATTGTAGCAAACCGTGGATTCGTGTTAAGTTTATAAGATGGAAAGGCCTTGACTCCATAGCTACAAGAGAAAAGTGGAAGGCAAAGAGAGACAAAGGCAGACCAAAAGAAAGTAAACAGGACAGTTTTAAATCATGGTATGGAAGCAAATCTGTGTCAGAAATCACTGATCATGGTATGGAATGTCATCTGTGCCAGAAATCATTGATCATGGTATGGAAGGTCATCTGTGCCAGAAATCACTGATCATGGTATGGAAGGTCATCTGTGCCAGAAATCTTGATCATGGTATGGAAGGTCATCTGTGCCAGAAATCACTGATCATGGTATGGAAGTAATTGATCATGGTATGGAAGATCATCTGTGCCAGAAATCACTGATCATTGTATGGAAGGACATTTGTATCAGAAATAATTGGTCATGGTATGGAAGGTCATTTGTATCAGAAATAACTGATCATGGTATGGAAGGTCATCTGTGCCAGAAATCATTGATCATGGTATGGAAGGACATTTGTATCAGAAATAATTGATCATGGTATGGAAGGACATTTGTATCAGAAATAATTGATCATGGTATGGAAGGACATTTGTATCAGAAATAATTGACCATGGTATGGAAGGACATATGTGCCAGAAATAATTGATCATGGTATGGAAGGTCATCTATGCCATAAATAATTGATTATTGTATGGAAAGACATATGTGCCAGAAATTATTGATCATGGTATGGAAGGACATATGTGCCAGAAATAATTGATTATGGTATGGAAAGACATATGTGCCAGAAATAATTGATCATGGTATGGAAGGACATATGTGCCAGAAATCATTGATCACGGTATGGAAGGTCATCTGTGCCAGAAATCATTGATTATGATATGGAAGGACATCTGTGCCAGAAATCATTGATCATGGTATGGAAGGACATCTGTGTAAGAAATGATTGATCAGGGTATGAAAGGACATCTGTGTCAGAAATCATTGATTATGGTATGGAAGGACATCTGTGTCACAAATCATTGATCACGGTATGGAAGCACATCTGTGCCAGAAATCATTGATTATGGTATGAAAGGACATCTGTGTCAAAAATCATTGATCACGTTTTGAAAAGACATCTCTGATAGAAATCATTTATCATTTTATGGAAGGACATCTGTATCAGAAATCATTGATTACGGTATTGAAGGACAACTGCATCAGAAATAATTATCTTGATATGGAAGAACATTTGTGTCAGAAATCGTTGATTATGCTATGGAAGGACATCTGTGCCAGAAATCATTGGTCATGGTATGGAAAGACATCTGTGTCAGATTTTAATTGATTATGGTATAGAAGGACATCTGTGTCAGAAATAATTGATTAGGGTATAGAAGAACAACTGTTTCAGAAATCATTGATCACGGTATGGAAGGACATCTGTGCCAGAAATCATTGATCGCGGTATGGAAGGACATCTGTATCAGAAATCATTGATCACGGTATGGAAGGACTTCTGTGCCAGAAACCATTGATCGCGGTATGGAAGGACATCTGTGTCAGAAATCATTGATCGCGGTATGGAAGGACATCTGTATCAGAAATCATTGATCACGGTATGAAAGGACATCTGTGTCAGAAATCATTGATCGCTGTATGGAAGTACATCTGTGCCAGAAATGATTGATTTTGATTGTGGTATGGAAGGACATCTGTGCCAGAAATCATTGATCATTGTATGGAAGGACATCTGTCTCTAAAATCATTGACAGTACATGGGACAGAAGCTGGGGATAGGTAAGACTATCAGCGCCACACGACATGGAGTGTAAACATATATTTTTAAATTCTTTCTATTATTCCCCCCCCCCCCTCCCACTTTTTGTTCTCCAGAATTTAATTCTATAGAGTTCAGAGGTCATGGATGAGAATCAAACGCGAGCATACTTCAGAAAACCCGTTCAGGCACAGTTGTACATAATCCGTTCTACGTAGCCGTGTCCAACTTTGAAGATCTGTAACTCAGTAACGGGTGTAAGTTGTTGAATTTTGGCATGCAACCTTGTAATAACCATGTTCTTATGAAAATGTTTTTTTTTTTTTTTTTTTTTAATGTAAACATGCATCTAGTTTTAATATTTGCCTTATGTGTGGTATATGGGCAAGGAAGAAGAACAACACCGATTCAAGGCAAATAGTCAGCCTATTTACTGTTAACTTAGTGACACTTTTTCAAAACATGAGATT